GAAATTATGAATTGCAGAAGACTAGTGTCCAAGTTCAATGGGTAATAGGGAAGGCAAATGGAATGTTGGCCTTTAATTCAATGCCAATAGAATATAAAAGTAGGGATGATTTGCTAAAAGGCATTTGTCAGACCACAGTTGAAATACTGTGAACAGCTTTGGGCCCTTTATCTAAAGAAGGTTTTGAGTCATTGGAGGCAGTCCAGAGAAGGTTCACTAGGCTGATACCAAGTATGAAGAGACTGTCTTATGAGGAGAGGCTGAGTAGATTGGCTGTGTACTCATTGGAGTTTGAAATAATGAGAGGTGACCTGTTTTGAAACATTGCTGCATCGCCAGGAGCTTCAGGCTGCAAAGTGGTTCATAATGGCTTCTGGCCCCTGATTGGCCAGTAACTTTAGGCAGGGGTGGGACATTGCAGGACGTGGCATGCAGATAAGCCCAAAAAGTGACCACTCAGATGCTTGATAGGCACAAGATTCTGTTGGCATTCACGTTTATGGTGTTTATGTGAGTTACGGTGCCTGTTCCAAAAAATATTGGAAAATCCCAGCCTCATCGTGTTAGGTTGTGCAACAGTGGGAGTTTGGAGGTGTAGGATCTATCAGTGATATTGAGATGGCACGGTCACTTAGTGGTTAGCACTGCCGCCTCACAGTGCCAGATACCCAGGTTTGATTCCAGCCTTGGGTGACTGTCAGATAGTAAGGACTGCAGATGGTGGAAGTTAGGGATGATAAAATGTGGATCCTGGAGGAGCATAGCAGGTCAGACAGCATCAGAGGAGCAGGAAAGTTGACATTTCAGGTCTGGACCCCTCATCAGGACTGGGGAGGGGAAAGGAAGCTCAGAAATATATCATTGGAGGGAGTGGGCGGGGGAAGGCAGTGGGATGGTGGTAGGTGATGCAGGTAGGGGATTGTCCAGATTGGCCAGTGGGAAAGGTGGGGCAGATAGGTGTGAAGGAAGATGGACAGGTTGTGTCAGGTCAAGGAGGCGGGGATGAGAGGGAGGGCTAGACATAGGATGAGGCCGGGTTGGGGAGATTTTGAAGCTGGTGAACACGATGTTGAAGCCATTGAGCTGCAAACTCCTGAGGGGGAATGTAAGGTGTTGTTCCTTCAGTTTATGTGTGGCCTCATTTTGACAGTGGAGGAGGCCCAGGATGGACATGTCACAGAGGGAGTGGGAGGGGGAGTTCTCTGTATGGAGTTTGCATGTTCCCCCTGTGTCTGTGTAGGTTTCCTCTGGGTGCTGCCATTTCCTCCCACAGACTAATGATGTGCAGGTTAAGAAGATTGGCCATGCTAAATGTGGGGTTACGGGGATAGGCTAGGATGCTCTTCAGCGTCTCAGTGCAGACCTGATGAATTGAATGCCCTCAATCTACACTGTAGGGATTCTATGATTCTACAAGAGTTTCCCACATGAGTTAGCAGTGTCTGTGAGCATTGGTGTTGGCACTGCTTTCAGTAACTAGTGAAGAAGTAGATTTGATGTTTGTTTGATTTATTTTAAGTTTAAGAGCTAGGGGGTGAATTTTGTTCTCATTGTTCTGCCTGAGGACTGACAGTGACGAAATGTGCAATTCCAAATTCCAGTATAAACAAAGTTGCCTTATTAATCAGTGATTCCAGTTTTGGAATGTTGACTCTGCACAGGGAGGAGATGGACTCTGCAGAATTAGCATTGCCTAAGGCTGCAGAACTGACAAATTGAACAAAACCAAAAAAAAATCAAGGACACCATAAACAGCAGAGTCCCATATGTCTTTGTTTACTTCGCCACAGAATACAATGATGGCATCTCCAACATTGCATCAATATTTCATCCAGCGCTTGCACACTGTTGGCGTGCAAACTCCATGAGTTTGCATTATCAGAATACAGTATGTTTTGCATTCAGTCGCATTTGCCCTCCTAAAGCTCAGGTAATTTAAGTACATAAGAACATAAGAACATAAGAACTAGGAGCAGGAGTAGGCCATCCAGCCCTTCGAGCCTGCTCTGCCATTCAATAAGACCACGGCTGATCTTTTCGTGGACTCAGATCCACTTACCCGCATTCTCACCATATCCCTTAATTCCTTTATTTTTCAAAAAAATATCTACCTTATCTTTAAAAACGTTTACTGAAGTAGCGTCAACTACTTCACTGGGCAAGGAATTCCATAGATTAACAACCCTCTAGGTGAAGAAGTTCCTTCTGAATTCAGTCCTAAATCTGCTCCCTCTAATCTTGAGGTTATGCCCTCTTGTCCTAGCTTCACCTGCCAGTGGAAACATCCTCTCTATTTCTATCTTATCTATTCCTTTCATAATTTTATATGTTTCTATAAGATCCCCCCTCAATCTTCTGAATTCCAATGAATATAATCCCAATCTACTCAGTCTCTCCTCATAAGCCAAACCCCTCAACTCCGGAATCAACCTAGTGAACCTCCTTTGCACCCCCTCCAGTACTTCTGTAATTTATTACCCTGCACTCATGTAATAGTATTTCAGATGAAAGTATGGCATCCTGTTCAGGCGAAAGAAATTTGAAATTTGATTTGAGTTTTATATAAACTTTATGGATATGAGTTTCACAGTGTAGACCCCATTTGGTTAGCAGTCTTAGGTGAGATTGTCATGAAGTCGCCAGAATTAAAAAAATAATCTCCAGGACTCTGTGGTCTCAGGAGAAAAATTATAATGACATGAGAAATAGTGTTTTAAAACAACAATTTTTTTTGAACACCTTTGTTCATGACTTGTACTTATCAAAGTGTTGGACATTGGAGGTAAAAAAGAAGAGGTCTATTGGATTGTTAATGAAGAGACTAGTTGTTTTCTGATTATACCAAGTAGATAATCTACTTTAGCTCAGAGTGATGTCAGCAACATTGGTTCAGTTCCAACACCAGTTAAGTTACCATGAAGGACTCTCCTGCTCAACTTCTCCCTTTGCCTGAGGTGTGGTGACCCTCAAGTTAACCGTGGGTTGTCTCTTGCTAATGAGAGAGCAGCTCAGTGGCCCAATAGGGCTTCAATCTACTGTGTGGAGAATCGTGCTGGATGACAGGGGATGTGGTCATGGTGACTGGACCTTTCAAAAGTTGGCAAACCCTATTGATGGAAATGATACATATTGTGGTTGTTAAATGGGAGAGCACCTATAGCTAAAACTGCAAATGTTGGTCATCCAAAACAGGGCCAGAAATGCAACAGGCCAATTAGCATTTGTGGAGTGAAGGAAAATAGTTAATGTCCGAAATAAAAAGTTAATGGTGTTTAATTGGAGACAGAACAGAGTGCAAACATAGTAAAAACAAGCACATGTATGCGCACACAGGACGTTCAGGTAAAGTTAAGAAAGGTACAGTAAACGTGTGGTTGGCGATGCAGCTGTAGGATGAGGCTCATAAGCCACGCATGGACCGATGGAACCATCGTCACAGAATTTCCTAAGGGGACAATCATACTCGTTAGTGAGTGATTGATGATGACAACAGATAATGCTGATTCGTAAACTGCTGTCAGGAAGAAATAAAAGGTGGCTCAGTATCTGAGGTGATTTGAGATGGAACAATGGGAGTTGTCTCAAATATTCTGCAGCAGTGCAATTTAAGATGTGACTGCAATCTGGTGAAAGATGTTTCTGGCACGACTGACATATGAAGAAAGACTGGATCGATTGGGCTTGTACTCACGGGAATTTAGAAGAATGATGGGGGGATCTCATTGAAACATTTAAATTCTGATGGGACTGGACAGGTTAGATAGAACATAGAACAATACAGCACAGTACAGGCCCTTCGGCCCACAATGTTGTGCTGATCCTACTAAGATCAAACTACCCTGCATATCCCACATCATACTATCATCCATGTGCATATCCAAGTGTCGCTTAAATGTCTCTAATGTATCTGACATGTCTCTAATGTATCTGACTAATGTAGATGCGGGAAGAATATTCCTGATGTTGAGGATGTCCAGAAGTAGGGGTCACAGTCTAAGAATAAGGGGTAAGCCATTCAGGACTGAGATGAGGAAGCATTTCTTCACTCAGTAAGTTGTGAACCTGTGGAATTCTGTACCACAGAAAGCTGTTGGGGCCGGATCGTTAGATATATTAAAAATGGAGCTGGACATGGCTCTTATGGCTAAAGGGATCAAAGGATATTGAGAGAAAGCAGGAGTGGGATGCTGACATTGCATGATCAACGATGATGATATTGAATGGTGGTGCAGGCTCAAAGGGCCGAGTGGCCTACTCCAGCACCTATTTTTTACGTTTCTATGTTTTCTAGAATCTCGTGTTGATTCACAAATTTTAAGTTCCAGTTAGTAGGCTAGAGAAGCTGTGGTGCTTCTGCTTGCACAGAGAGGGCTGAAGGTATTTGAATTTAAAATTATGAGAGGTTTAGAATGGAACAAGTAAAGGGAAAGTCTCGTGACTGAAAGATAGACTTGCCAAACAAACAGAAGGCAAGGTGAGAGCAATGGTTGGACAGGAAGTGGTATGCACTACCTGATGTGACGACGGGTACACTTTCAGAAGCAGGGGAGCTAGATAAAGTCGAAAAAGTGGAAAAGTTACAGAGATATGGGGAAAAGGAGCATGACAGTGGAACTAACTGAAACAACTGAAGTAAACTTGATAAACTGGAAGTACTACTCAAAAAGTCTAATCATATGGTTTCTGAAATATTCAGCATTGCAGATTTTTTTCCCTTAAACAAATAATGTGAAGCATCAACCAGCCAACTTGACCAGGACTTCAATGTTCTGAGAGGAATGGATTAACATCTGACTACAGATTGCATCTTTTGACGCTGCCTGTTTATTTTTGTTTTAATTCAGAATAATTATCCTTGTACTGACAACACCTTCCAGTGAAGAGGCATTGCCGCCTCATTCCTCACCTACCTGCTGACTTGCAGAAGTAATAAAACACTTACGTCTGCTACCCAACTATGTCTGACCTTGTCTTGTTTTGTCTGTTTTTGTGATCGATAGGTTGTTTATAAAAACAATGACATCAGACTGGAGCTCTCACGCCTGGCGAGGATTAAGGATCCCAAGATGAAGATCCACGGCGACGTTGTGTTCACATGTGAGAACGTTGCCACCCTTGACCCCATCTCATTCGAGACACCGGAGGCCTACATCAGCTTGCCAAAGTGGAACACCAAGAAGATGGGCTCGATTTCCTTTGATTTCCGCACGTCTGAGCCCAGCGGCCTCATTCTGTTCACCCATGGAAAGCCACAGGAGAGGAAAGACTTGCGGAGCCTGAAGAAAACCAAAGTGGACTTCTTCGCTGTTGAGCTCTTGGATGGGAACCTGTTCTTGCTCCTGGATATGGGCTCTGGTGCGATCAAAATCAAATCTACTACCAGGAAAGTGAACGATGGGGAATGGTATCACGTGGATATACAACGGGATGGTAGATCAGGTGAGGGTCAAAAAAAAAAGAAAATACAATGGGTTTTAAATTGTTTTTTTCCATTCATTCACGGGATGAGGGCGTTGCTGGCTGGGCCAGCGTTTATTGCCCATCCCTAATTACTCAGAGGACAGTTGAGAGCCCACCACATTGCTGTGGGTCTGCAGTCATGTGTAGGCCAGACCAGGTAAGGATTGCAATTTCCTTCTCTAAAGTGAATCAGATGGGATTTTCCGACAATCAACAATGGCTTCAAAATTGGGCAGCATTGTAGACAGTGTTGACGAAAGCATAAAATTACAACAGGATATCGGTAGATTAGGTGAATGGGCAAAGATGTGGCAGATGGATTTTAATACAAGCAAGTGTGGGGTTATCATTTCGAACCAAGAAAGAATAGATCAGGGTATTTTTTCGAAGGCGAGAGTGACAGTAATATGCCTTGATGGGGGAATTAAACTATTCTTAGACATTGTTTTTGCAGTACAACAGGCTAAAACATATACAGGTACTTCAGAATTAATTATTATTTCAGAATTACAAATTCATTTTCTGAGAAATAATTATTTTTCTCCAAAATGGTAGAAGAAAGGTCATGTAAATGAAGCAGTTTATCGTTAAAACATTTGAGTGTAAGGCATGTTGAAAGCATATAGAATATATAGTAATGGCCCTTGTTCCACTGTTATATAGGGAGAAACACAAAAGGATCATAAAAGGATCCAGAACAAGAGAGCACAGGTATAAGACCATTTCAAAAGAAGCAAATGTGACATGAGGAGAAAACTTCTCACATGCAAATGGTTAAGGTCAGGAATATGAGCTTGGAAGTGTGGTGGAGGCAACTTGCAATTGAGGTATTTAAGAGAGCACTGAATTATTATCTAAATCAAAGTAATGAACAAGCTTATGGGGGAAAGGCAGAACAATGGCATTGAGTCTTAATGCCATTCAGCTGAGTAGCCTCCTTTCATAGAACATACTTTCGGCCCACCATGATGCTAATCTAAACTATTTCCATCTACCTGCACATGGTCTGTACCCCTCTATTCTCTGCCTGTTCATGTGTCTGTCTGAATGCTTCTTAACTGTTGCTTTCTTATCTGCTTCTACCACCTTCCCTGGCAGCGTGTTCCAGACACCTACCACCCTCTGTGTAAAAAAACTTTCCCCACGCATTTCCTTTAAACTTTCACTCTTTACCTTATATCTATGTCGCCTAGTATTTGACATTTTTACCAAGGGAAACAGACTCAAACCACCCACCCACTCCGTGTCCCATCTAATGTTCCCTCTAAGCTGCGTGGCTTTGTGCTCGGAGCTCTGAACACGCTGTGCACAGACCTTAGAGATCCACACAATGCTAGGAAATGTTTGCGAGAATGTAGTCTCCATCTGTGCAGTATCAATCCTACGTAGACAATAAATTATGTTTCTTCCCCTTCTGCCATAAGCTACTTCAATTTTCTTGACGGAAGATGTCAGCTTCTTTCTGTAAAGTAGCCTCAGGAACTTTCAATTTTTCTCAAGTGAGGGCGTATACCTGTATAAAGTTGGCGTTGGGTACCTGGAGGTTATTGTAAGGAAGCATTCCTTTACACCGACAGTAATGGAAATCTGGAATTTTCTTCTCTGGAATCTGTTCAGGCTGGTGGTCTGTTGAAAACTAAATCTTTGTTAGGCAGCACTGTTAAAGGGACCAATGCAGTAGGGTTATGACACAGATCAGCCATGATCTAATTAGATAATGAAAGGGCTGAGTGGCCTCCTTCTGTTCCTCTCTTCCTATATCTGGATCAACTGGTTATTTGTCATGTTCAAACTTTAATGTCAAGAGTCAAAAAGCTATTCGATTCATAGTGTCCGGAACAAAATTCCTCAACTAGCATTACGTAGAAAATAGAAGCAGAAGTAGACCATTCAGCCCTTTAAGCCTGCTCCATCATTCAATATGATCATGGCTGATCATTTAACTCAAAATCCTGTTCTCGTTTGCTCCCCATACCCTTTGGTCCCTTCAACCCTAAGAACTGTATCTAACTCCTTGAAAACATTCAATGCTTTGGCCTCAACCGCTTCTGCGGCAGAGAATCCCACAGGCTCACCACCCTCTGGGGCAGAAATGTCTCCCTATCTCAGTCCTAAATGGCCCACTCCATATCCTTAGACAATGACCCCTGGTTCTAGACTCTCTGGTCATTGGTAACAGCCTTCCTGGGTTTCCCCTGTCCAGTCCTGTTTGAATTTTGTAGGTTCCTGTGAGAACCTTCCTCATTCTTCTAACTTCCAGTGAATATCATCCTAACCAATCTCTTTGTACGTCTGTCAGTATTGAGACAGTTTATCTCCTTCCTCTTTTTTGGGGCCTTGCTGTTTGCAATTTGGCAACATGACGTCATTACATAAATTTATGTTCTTCACCTCACTTTCCGCTGTCCTGTTTATGGCTTTCCATGCATCAAGGATCACATTCTTCTCTTCTGCATCCTGATGTGAGTGTTGCTGACACATCCAACATTTATGGCCCATCCTTGATTTCCCTTGAGAAGGTGGTGATGAGCTGCCTTCTTGAACCACTGCAGTTCGTGTGGTGTACATACACGCTGTTAGGAAGGTCTTCCAGAACATTAACCCTGTGAAGGAACAGCGACATTTTTCCAAGTTAAGGTGTTGTGAGACTTGGATGGGAACTTGCAAGGGGTGATATTCCCATTTACCCTTCCGGCTGGTAGAGATCGCACTGTCACAGTGCTGTTAAGGAGCTATTCATTACTATAACACACTGAGTTACTGGAGGAAGACAATGCAAACATTTTGGTGACATTGAATCAGAAACTTGTAAGCCCTTTACATAATTCACGCATAAAATAAATCAGTAGAAGTTGGACCAACATTTTCTAAACTATCTGACTTTCTCTTGCAGGCACCATATCCGTGAATAGTCGACGCACCCCATTCACAGCAAGTGGAGACAGTGAGATTCTTGACCTGGAGGGGGATATGTACCTTGGAGGCTTACCAGACAACAGAATGGGCTCCATCTTGCCCACAGAGCTGTGGACAGCCATGCTCAACTATGGCTATGTTGGCTGCATCAGGGACTTGTTCATTGATGGGAGGAGCAAGGATATCCGACAGTTGGCTGAGGACCAGAATGCGGCTGGGGTCAAGCCATCTTGCTTACGTGTGAACACGAAGCAATGTGACAGCAACCCTTGCAAGAACAATGCAGTGTGCAGAGAAGGTTGGAATCGGTTCATCTGTGATTGCACAGGCATGGGCTACTGGGGGAGAACGTGTGAAAGAGGTAAGTGTGGCTTACCTTCTTAACGGGGCCAGTAGAATAGTATTCAACACCTTGGGTGAACCTTAAGCTTTGCATACATTGTAGCTGCCCCAAGAATGAACTTTAATAATTAAATATTGTGCATTATAATATGAGCAAAAGTCTGAATTTATGATGAGATTTATTTTACATGAAAGAAGAGGATACTATGATTTTGATCATGTATTCTCATTGTTTTACTCTTTTCATACGATATGTACTGGAAGAAATATGAATTATAATGGTTAGTAGGGTTGACATGAAGTAATACTGTGCATCAGTTACTGGATGATGTTCTGCACAATTTACACACAGCCAATACTGATTATGATCGAGTGGGCTAGATTAAATTACTTCCTTGCATTTATTTACCGGTGAGTGGTTTTCAAATAATCAGGCGGATGTGCAAATTAGTGAAACTTGCAAAAACAGAATGAGGGATGTCAACTGAAATGTTGGGAAAGACAATTGGGAAAGACAGTTGGGAAAGACGGGAATCTAAATGTATGTTGGTGTGTGTGGATGTATAATCAGTCAATGCAGGCTTTAACTTCTCGCTGCTGAAAAATGTTTGTTAACCTTTGCAACTTCTGAAATAGTTGACTCTTCCCCCTCCTTCCCCATCCCTGGATTTTGAGACAGTTTCCTGGCTTGCCTTATGGTTGCATCAGTCTACCTTCTTCAGGAAACATCTTGTTTCATTCCTGTTTGCTGTGACAAAGTAAAAGCACATCAGTTATTTACCTGAAGGATTTACAAGGTGGAAGGAATGTGACTGATAGGATGTAAGTTTGATTTCCTGCTGTACTTGTTTCACGAACTCAGCTGCATAAGAGAGGAGCAGTCCAGCTTTCCCCCTGTGAGAGCTCAGGGTGAATTTAATTGACTGAATCAGTTATTGTCACATGTATTCAATCAAGATAAACTACAGTGAAAAATGTATACCATCGCCATGAAACGGCGCCATTCTTCAAATAAAATAAAAAATAAAAAAAAACTGAAAGAGAGTCCAACTTGTCCTTCTCCGCTGCTACAGTCCCGCTCTGGGCTTCACCAGCCCACGCCATCCCGCTGTCAGAGTCACACTCTGTGCTTCACCAGCCCATCCTATCCCGGTGCCGCTGCCAGAGGCACACTCTGCGCTTCACCAGCCCATCCTATCCCACGGCTGAGTGCCTTTCCATGTTTCACAGACCGGCCGACTCCATACCCACACTACCTCTGAAGACGCTGCCGCTCTGAACCCCATCAAAACCACCTTCCTCCCGCTGAGCCCTCTATAGCAGGTAAGTTTAAGCGAAAGCTAAAAAAAAAACTGAGGCAAGAAGAAAAGGAAAAGAAAAGGAAAAGCGAATGAAGAGGACAAGCCTGGGTACAGGAGCCCGGACAATGCCAACTCCACCCCTGCCATCTTGAGGAGATGCCCAAATCTTCACACTGTCTGCCTTGGCCAGTTTCATAGATATTTCCAAATCAACCTGTTTGGAGATGTTATAACAAACCCCTGGAGCTGGTGAGAGTTGAACCTGGGCCTCCTGGCTCAGGGATAGGAACACTACCACTGCACTACAAAGAGCCCTCTTACTGGCCAGTTTTACATTGGTGGAAGGAATGCCCCTTGCCTATTTTGTTTGCATTGTGGCTCAGGGGGTCTTGAGGAGCGTGGTACAAGAGAGAGAAAAAAAAATTCACCTTCATTTGGGACCTGAAAGAACAGACAATGTTCACTTTTACACCTTGTTACCTCTCTATCAGACTTCAAACTAATTGACCAATCAGTGAACATGCTCATCATCCAACAAAGGATCCAGTGGGAGACCCTTCAGCCCGTGGGAGAATTGGCAGCCCAGCATCATAATGGGGAAGATGGTGGACTAGAAACTCAGATGCCTTGGTGAATGCTCGAGGGACATTGATTCGGATCCCATCCCAGCAACTGGTGGAATTTACATTCAGTTCATAAATACCTGGAATTGAATCAGTAACGATGATGTTAATGAGTCCCTGCTGGGACTTAGCAGGGGTTCTAACTGTATTTAGAACAAAAGAGCAAAGAACAAACAGCGCAGGAACAGGCCCTTTGGCTCACCAAGACTGTGCTGACACGTGGTGCCTTTCTAAACTAAAAACCTTTCGCCTCTACGCTGTCTGTATCCCTCCAATCCCTGACTGTTCGTATATCTGTCAGGATATCTCTTAAACATTACTTTTGTATGCGCCTGCACCACCTCCTCTGGCAGCGCATTCCAGATACTTACCACTCTCGGTGTAAAAAAAATCTCCAACTTCTATCCGCCTCCCCCTCTCTCCCTATTTATTTCAGAACCCCCTTCCCCTCCCCCATTTCTGATGACGGGTCTAGGCCCGAAACATCAGCCTTCCTGCTCCTATGATGCTGCTTGACCTGCTGTGTTCATCCAGCTCTACACCTTGTCATCTCAGATTCTCCAGCATCTGCAATTCCTAGTATCTCCTTTAAACTTAGCCCCTTTTACCTTAAAACTGGGCCCCTAGTAATTGACATTTCTACCCCAGGAAAAAGACTCTGACTATCCATTCTATCCATGCCTCTCATAATTTTGTAAATTTTGTAAGCTTGTAATAAATTTTGTAATTTCTATTCGGTTGCCCCACATCCTTTGACGTTCAAGTGAGAAACAGTATTGTGCCCTTAGTAGGTTTTTAAAGGGGCTTAACTGGCTGTACTATGCTTCTGTAATGGCCTAGAGGCAGCAGCAGACCGACTAACTGGCTGGTGTGGACAAATACAGGCTCCCCTCCATGGCTTATTAACTATTTGGCTTCAGACAGACTCTGTTTCTGTTCCATCTAAGACTGTTTTAGTTATCTATAGTGATGCATGCGTCAGCTCTGCAAAAGGCAACAGAGTGTGCGTTAGAATATAACCACTTTGAAAGCCATTAATAGGTTCAGAGAGCTTCGTCTTTTTACAGGGCAAAGTGTAGGTTAATGAGCTGATCTAATTGAAAAGTGTGAAATAATAAAGGGAGCAGACTCTTGAGTTGATGAGGTATGTGAAATAGATACCTTGGAAGTATATGGTATATATATATCTATATATAAGGTAGGCAAGCATAGAAATAGACTAGATCTGTAAGACCTACATTACACAGTGGTTTACAAACACGTAGTATAAAGTACAAGTCCATGTGGTGAACTTTATGTTGTTACAATAGTTTGCAAAAGAGTAGGGCAAATACCTTTCTGTGGCTAGTATTGCTACATATGAAAAGAAGCTGGGATTTTGGATATACACCTCTTATATCACAGTGTGATGGTAAGACTATAGACCATAAGAAATAGGACCAGGAATGGGCTGTTTGGACCCTCGAGCCTGCTCCACCATTCAATAGGATCATATCGGATCTGACATTCCAACGTTCGCTTTCTGGCTTTCTCCCCCTTACCCTTGATTCCCCGACTGATCAAGAATCCAAATGTCTCAGCCTTAAATGTACACAAGGACTTTGCCCCACACCCCTCTGTGGCTCTCTGTGGCAAGGAGTTCCAAACTCAACCCCCTGAGAGAAGAAATGGCGTGAACTCATTTTGAGCATTTCCCAAGTTCTCTGATTGAAATAGCTTAAGGGGTTGGGTGCTAGCTGGATGAACAGTAGGGTGCTAAGTGGGTGAAGAGGTTGGGTGCTAGCCGGATGGACAGTAAGGTGCTAGGTGGCTGAAGGGGTTGGGTGCTAGCTGGATGAACAGTAGGGTGCTAGGTGGGTGAAGAGGTTGGGTGCTAGCTGGATGGACAGTAAGGTGCTAGGCGGGTGAAGGGGTTGGGTGCTAGCTGGATGGACAGTAAGGTGCTAGGT